GCGCGCAGATGCACTTGCATGCCTGAAAGTCACGGTGACTTCTGGCAACCCCTAGTGGGGCTAGGACATTTCAGAGAGGTGGCTTGATAATCTGCCTCTGTATCCTGGCCCTGGTATTTCTTGGAGGTCACCCTTCCAAGTACTTGCCAGGGTCGGCCCTGCTTAGCTTCCAAGATCTGATGAGATCTGGCTTGCCTGGGCTATCCAGTTGAGGGACCTAGTGTATTATTACATGTCTCATGCTATTTGCCTGCATTGTTTTACTCTATGTAATCTGCCTTGAGTCTCAGTGAAAAGGCATCTACGCAGTACATAAATAAAGTTTCTGGATGGATACTCTTCTGAGCTAACCCACTGAGTTCAAGAGGTAATGCTTCAAACCTGCCGATGAACTCCATGACTGGCCACTCAAACATCCTTAACCATTCTTTGTAATAATGAACTCTAACACCAGAAATCAACTAAGTCAGGAGACAAAGAGGTTGCAGAAGGATATATTTCTGGATGAGGATGGTATGTATTCATTGAGGAGGTGAATAAAAATATATTCTACCATACACTTTTGTGGACTAAACCCTGCTTCAGACACATGTATGTTGTAGGCTCTCAATAAGCCAGCATTTATAGAAGTGTTATGAAGAAGTGTGAACAGCAAGGTTCAAGGGCTCAGAAATGCACGAAGTACACCAGGAATTGTAATAAGGCAAAACTCAAATATAAATGAAGCAAAGTACAGATGCTGCTCACAATGGCACCAGTGCAATTTCCCTTGCTTTGCAAAGCAACTTAAACACCTGTCATGACTGAAGACTCTCAAGTCATTACAGGCTTTAAGGTGGCACAAAAACTCGCTCCTGTTTTTGCTGCAACAGACTAACATGAGGCCTTAATATGGGCCAGGTACATATGGGGAGGAATCAAGCACCAGAGTGTGATCTTCACAGTCAGTGTCTCAGTTCAGCAGCCCAGCTCTGGCGGGGAGCAGCACGTTCAAGAGAAATGCATCAGTGTGAGCACTGCATAAAGAAGGAGAAAGCTACCACCTAAGGCCAGTTTCAAGGGAAGCACTGGTTTCCAGGACTGAGTGTAGACCCTTTCAGACTTCACAGTTTTAGCTAAGAGCCAAGGTAACAACAAGGACCACATAATACTCCTCTAGGGGCTCACTTGTGGGCACCAGCTCCCTCTTGCTCTGTGTCTTCATCTCCCTGGCTGGGCACTGCAAGTTCCACAATGTCTTCAGATAATGCAACAGGTAGAGCACTCTGGGCAGCAGCCGGCAGCAGGCTGATACGGACAGCAGTCCAACTGGCATCCGTGCTGCAACAAGAGACCAGAAAACAAAGGCATTTCTGTGCATGCCAGCTGTGGCCCAGATTTTTCCGCCAAGGAAAGGGTTAACTAAGAAAAATTTCAGGAACTTTCAATGATGTTTGTATAGATTCAGAGATTCATAGCCACAAGGATAGGCTTTCCTGCAATTCTTCCATGGTTAATGTTTGCAGAAAAGCACCTGCCCCCTTGTGAAAGAAGTCCAGCTACAGGAAACAAAACCCATGATTAAGCCTCCATTTTACCACCATACGGAGGTACATTTATGCAATCACCTATGGAAGAATTATGGAGATTTTTTAAAACCCTGTGGTTAGAAGCCTAAAGGAAATGCAAACATGCCTTCCTCCTGAACAGAGCCAGAAGCCACAGCCAATCCGTGCTGCCCTCCCTGATGGATTGCTATTGGTATTGGTATTGTTTAAAAACAAAGAGGCAAGAAGTCAGGCAGCTCGGCAGATCTGTCCCCAAGAGACACAGCTCTGGCATCATAAGAACATAAGAGACGCCAATGTTGGATCAGGCCAAAGGCCCATCCCGTCCAACACTCTGTGTCACACAGTGGCCAGAAATACCAGGTGCCATCAGGAGGTCCA